GACGTCATCCTGACCCTCGTGACGTCATTTCCTGACTTCGCCCTTACTGGTACATACCGGTACCCACCGGTATAGCGAAGCTTGGTCTTCCACTTGCTTCAACACTTGACGCAGCTTGACGAGGTGTCTTCTTCACAGCCGCTGTCTTTTCAACAAGGCGGAACAGTGCGAGACTCAGTTGGACCAAGCGACGTACAAGAGGAAGTCAAGAAAGGCGATGGCAGTGATCTGTCTAGCCATGGAAGATTCCCAGCTACCGTTGGTCCGGTCGGCAAGTGGTGCATGCGACGCATGGTCAAGGTTGGAAGACCACTTCGAGAAGAAGAGTCTTGCCAACAAGCTGTTCTTGCGCCGTCGCTTCTTCACGACAATGATGGAAGAAGGCGACGATGTGCTCGAACACATCAACAAGCTCAAGACGCTGGCGGAACAGCTAGAAGCGGTGGGGGCTCCAGTCTGCGAGGACGATCTGGTGATCACACTCCTCGGCAGCCTGAGTGACTCGTATCAATTCTTGATCACAGCTTTGGAGTCGCGCTCAGACACTCTTAGCTGGGAGCTCGTGACGTCTCGACTGCTTCATGAAGAAATGAAGCGGAAGGAGCAAGGAAGTAAAGGTGATGAAGCTTCGCAAGGTCAAGCGTTCATCACAAGGGACAATCAGCGCAAAGGGCGACCAGTGAAGAAGTCCTGGCCGTGCCACAATTGCGGAAAGATTGGTCACTGGATGGCGGAGTGCCCCTCGCGCATCCAAGAAAACACGGAGAGACACCGGCCACAGCGTGCTCAAGACAGCGGCGACCGCTATCGATCACAACGTGCAAACGTCGCTCAAGAAGAAGACTCGGGCGACTACCTCTTTTCGATCGGTGAAACGACATCTGCGAAATCGAGCGACATCTGGCTGGTCGACTCCGGGGCGACGCAGCACATGACGTGCTCCAAGAAGTTCATGCGGAACTACAAGGGGTTTGACGCTGTGGATGTCCATCTCGCGGATGATGGAATCGTCCAAGCAATCGGCAGTGGGGACATTGTCATGTCGATGAAGACACCCCAAGGGATGAAGAAAGGTGTGCTCACAAACGTGTGGCACATCCCAAAGTTATCCAGAAACCTGTTCTCGGTCGGCCGCTTCACCAAGGATGTCGGCCCAGTGACGTTCACGAAGGATGGGTGCTATGGAGAAGCGAAAGGGACCAAGTGGAAAATTGGTGCCCGTGAAGGTAAAGGACTGTTCAAGCTGCAAATGACTCCAGTGGCGCCGGAACAAGCAAATGCAGCCAAGTCGTCGGGATGTCAAGGGGGCACCAAGTCGTACCTCTGGCACCTTCGGCTTGGCCACATAGGTCACGATGGACTCAATTGCATCGTGACGAAGAACATTGGAATTGGCATCGACATATCTTCGGTGAAGAAGTGGGACGTGTGTGAAGGTTGTGCTCTGGGAAAACAGACTCGAGTGCGCTTCCAATCAAACACTACAGCTCGCACCTCCAAACTCCTCGAAGTGATTCACAGCGACGTATGCGGACCGATGTCGATGGCAACTTTCAGTGGAAAACGGTACTTCGTGACATTCATTGATGACAAGTCAAGATACTGTGTCGTCTATCTGCTCAAGAGCAAATCTTAAGTTGCGGCGAAGTTCATGGAATACGCTGCGATGGCCGAAACGCAAACCGGAAAGCGCGTGAAGTACCTTCAAAGCGACAATGGGGGTGAATACAAGTCCGACAAGCTGGCACGATTCTGCGCGGAACGGGGAATACAACAAAGGTTCACACCCCCATATACTCCTCAGCTAAACGGAGTAGCTGAGAGAATGAATCGCACGCTGGTCGAGTGTGCGCGTTGCATGATGGAACACGCTGGACTGGGAAAGAGCTACTGGGGTGAAGCAGTGATGACGGCGATGTTTCTTCGAAACCGCTGTCCAACACGTGCCATTCACCAAGACAAGTCTCCATATCAAGTGTGGACGATGAAGAAACCGATTCTGGCCAACCTTAAAGTGTTTGGATGCCACGCGTATGTTCAAGTGCCTCAAGACAAACGCGCGAAGTTCGACTCCAAGTCATCACTCTGTCGTTTCCTGGGATACGCCGAACACCAGAAGTCATATCGATTTGAGGAAGTGTCAACAGGAGCGATCAAGATCAGTCGCGATGCCACATTCATGGAAGACAAGTTTGATGAAGGTCCGCGCAACTACAACGATGAGTCAAGTGTCGTTGAGTTTGATGATCATGATGAGGACGAAGAAAAAGAAGAAGGTAAAACTGACGACGACATGGACTCGAGCGACGATGACAACGAAGACACCAGGTCTTCGAAGAGCAACATCAAGAGACACACGCGCACTCAATCACTTGAGAAAGCTACCGTCATTCCAAGTCCCAAGCGAAGAACATACAGAGGTCCGTCGCTTGAGCATGTGTCAGCGGCTGCAATGGATTTTGAAGCAGCCTACATCGTTGATTCAGTGGGGGAAACGCCGACTACATTCAAGTCGGCGATGGAATCAAGCGACTCCGGCAAGTGGAAAGAAGCGTGTGACTCGGAGTTCGACTCGCTTCAGAGAAACGACACGTGGGAAATCGTGCCTCTTCCGAAAGGTCGCAAGGCAGCGTCTTGAGCTTGTTGATGTGTTCTAGCACATCGTCGCCTTCTTCCATCATTGTCGTGAAGAAGCGACGGCGCAAGAACAGCTTGTTGGCAAGACTCTTCTTCTCGAAGTGGTCTTCCAACCTTGACCATGCGTCGCATGCACCACTTGCCGACCGGACCAACGGTAGCTGGGAATCTTCCATGGCTAGACAGATCACTGCCATTGCCTTTCTTGACTTCCTCTTGTACGTCGCTTGGTCCAACTGAGTCTCGCACTGTTCCGCCTTGATCTCACCGCTGACGACCTCCCATAGGTCCCGTTCCTCCAGCACCATCTGCATCTTGAACTTCCAGGCGTGGAAGTTAGTTCCATCGAACTTGGAGATGCGGAGGGAGGAGGCGTCCATGGCAGCTAAGCTTGAATTGTTGGCGGTTTCAGAGTCTGACGAACTTGGGCTCATAACCTGATGAACTTTAGACTTCTTGGTCCGAGTGCAAAACGCAAAGTGAATATATATTTATAATAGGTACTTAGTTCGCAACTTTGAATACTACCTCTAAGCCTATTATTCGCAGTGACGTCATCCAGTGACGTCACCCACTGACGTCACCCACTGACGTCATGCAATGACGTCATCCAGTGACGTCATTTCCTGACTTCGCCCTTACTGGTACATACCGGTACCCACCGGTATAGCGAAGCTTGGTCTTCCACTTGCTTCAACACTTGACGCAGCTTGACGAGGTGTCTTCTTCACAGCCGCTGTCTTTTCAACAACACCGACGCAGACTGGGCCGGCGACATTGAGTCAAGACGAAGTACAAGCGGCTATGTGTTCATGATGAGCGGAGGATGCATCAGCTGGAAAAGCCAGAAACAACGGACGGTCGCGCTATCTTCAACAGAAGCAGAATACATGGCGCTTTCCGAAGCAACCAAAGAAGCAGTATGGCTCAAAGTGCTTTTGGGGGAACTTGGTGAGATGACAAGCGACGAAGCGATCAAGATGTATGAAGACAACCAAGGATCAATCGCTCTCGCCAAGAACCCGGAGTTCCATAAGAGAACAAAACACATCGACATACGCTACCATTTTGTGCGTGAGAAGGTGGAATCAGGTGAAGTCGTTTTGGAGTATTGCCCGACTCAAGATATGCTGGCAGACATGATGACCAAGCCGATCGCCGCTGTACAATTTGAAAACATTCGCGATCGACTTGGGATCCAAGGTGCCGCAGCTAACGAGTCGAGAGGGAGTGTTGAAAAGACAGCGGCTGTGAAGAAGACACCTCGTCAAGCTGCGTCAAGTGTTGAAGCAAGTGGAAGACCAAGCTTCGCTATACCGGTGGGTACCGGTATGTACCAGTAAGGGCGAAGTCAGGAAATGACGTCACTGGATGACGTCATTGCATGACGTCAGTGGGTGACGTCAGTGGGTGACGTCACTGGATGACGTCACTGCGAATAATAGGCTTAGAGGTAGTATTCAAAGTTGCGAACTAAGTACCTATTATAAATATATATTCACTTTGCGTTTTGCACTCGGACCAAGAAGTCTAAAGTTCATCACAGATCACTGCCATCGCCTTTCTTGACTTCCTCTTGTACGTCGCTTGGTCCAACTGAGTCTCGCACTGTTCCGCCTTGATCTCACCGCTGACGACCTCCCATAGGTCCCGTTCCTCCAGCACCATCTGCATCTTGAACTTCCAGGCGTGGAAGTTAGTTCCATCGAACTTGGAGATGCGGAGGGAGGAGGCGTCCATGGCAGCTAAGCTTGAATTGTTGGCGGTTTCAGAGTCTGACGAACTTGGGCTCATAACCTGATGAACTTTAGACTTCTTGGTCCGAGTGCAAAACGCAAAGTGAATATATATTTATAATAGGTACTTAGTTCGCAACTTTGAATACTACCTCTAAGCCTATTATTCGCAGTGACGTCATCCAGTGACGTCACCCACTGACGTCACCCACTGACGTCATGCAATGACGTCATCCAGTGACGTCATTTCCTGACTTCGCCCTTACTGGTACATACCGGTACCCACCGGTATAGCGAAGCTTGGTCTTCCACTTGCTTCAACACTTGACGCAGCTTGACGAGGTGTCTTCTTCACAGCCGCTGTCTTTTCAACAAGGCGGAACAGTGCGAGACTCAGTTGGACCAAGCGACGTACAAGAGGAAGTCAAGAAAGGCGATGGCAGTGATCTGTCTAGCCATGGAAGATTCCCAGCTACCGTTGGTCCGGTCGGCAAGTGGTGCATGCGACGCATGGTCAAGGTTGGAAGACCACTTCGAGAAGAAGAGTCTTGCCAACAAGCTGTTCTTGCGCCGTCGCTTCTTCACGACAATGATGGAAGAAGGCGACGATGTGCTCGAACACATCAACAAGCTCAAGACGCTGGCGGAACAGCTAGAAGCGGTGGGGGCTCCAGTCTGCGAGGACGATCTGGTGATCACACTCCTCGGCAGCCTGAGTGACTCGTATCAATTCTTGATCACAGCTTTGGAGTCGCGCTCAGACACTCTTAGCTGGGAGCTCGTGACGTCTCGACTGCTTCATGAAGAAATGAAGCGGAAGGAGCAAGGAAGTAAAGGTGATGAAGCTTCGCAAGGTCAAGCGTTCATCACAAGGGACAATCAGCGCAAAGGGCGACCAGTGAAGAAGTCCTGGCCGTGCCACAATTGCGGAAAGATTGGTCACTGGATGGCGGAGTGCCCCTCGCGCATCCAAGAAAACACGGAGAGACACCGGCCACAGCGTGCTCAAGACAGCGGCGACCGCTATCGATCACAACGTGCAAACGTCGCTCAAGAAGAAGACTCGGGCGACTACCTCTTTTCGATCGGTGAAACGACATCTGCGAAATCGAGCGACATCTGGCTGGTCGACTCCGGGGCGACGCAGCACATGACGTGCTCCAAGAAGTTCATGCGGAACTACAAGGGGTTTGACGCTGTGGATGTCCATCTCGCGGATGATGGAATCGTCCAAGCAATCGGCAGTGGGGACATTGTCATGTCGATGAAGACACCCCAAGGGATGAAGAAAGGTGTGCTCACAAACGTGTGGCACATCCCAAAGTTATCCAGAAACCTGTTCTCGGTCGGCCGCTTCACCAAGGATGTCGGCCCAGTGACGTTCACGAAGGATGGGTGCTATGGAGAAGCGAAAGGGACCAAGTGGAAAATTGGTGCCCGTGAAGGTAAAGGACTGTTCAAGCTGCAAATGACTCCAGTGGCGCCGGAACAAGCAAATGCAGCCAAGTCGTCGGGATGTCAAGGGGGCACCAAGTCGTACCTCTGGCACCTTCGGCTTGGCCACATAGGTCACGATGGACTCAATTGCATCGTGACGAAGAACATTGGAATTGGCATCGACATATCTTCGGTGAAGAAGTGGGACGTGTGTGAAGGTTGTGCTCTGGGAAAACAGACTCGAGTGCGCTTCCAATCAAACACTACAGCTCGCACCTCCAAACTCCTCGAAGTGATTCACAGCGACGTATGCGGACCGATGTCGATGGCAACTTTCAGTGGAAAACGGTACTTCGTGACATTCATTGATGACAAGTCAAGATACTGTGTCGTCTATCTGCTCAAGAGCAAATCTTAAGTTGCGGCGAAGTTCATGGAATACGCTGCGATGGCCGAAACGCAAACCGGAAAGCGCGTGAAGTACCTTCAAAGCGACAATGGGGGTGAATACAAGTCCGACAAGCTGGCACGATTCTGCGCGGAACGGGGAATACAACAAAGGTTCACACCCCCATATACTCCTCAGCTAAACGGAGTAGCTGAGAGAATGAATCGCACGCTGGTCGAGTGTGCGCGTTGCATGATGGAACACGCTGGACTGGGAAAGAGCTACTGGGGTGAAGCAGTGATGACGGCGATGTTTCTTCGAAACCGCTGTCCAACACGTGCCATTCACCAAGACAAGTCTCCATATCAAGTGTGGACGATGAAGAAACCGATTCTGGCCAACCTTAAAGTGTTTGGATGCCACGCGTATGTTCAAGTGCCTCAAGACAAACGCGCGAAGTTCGACTCCAAGTCATCACTCTGTCGTTTCCTGGGATACGCCGAACACCAGAAGTCATATCGATTTGAGGAAGTGTCAACAGGAGCGATCAAGATCAGTCGCGATGCCACATTCATGGAAGACAAGTTTGATGAAGGTCCGCGCAACTACAACGATGAGTCAAGTGTCGTTGAGTTTGATGATCATGATGAGGACGAAGAAAAAGAAGAAGGTAAAACTGACGACGACATGGACTCGAGCGACGATGACAACGAAGACACCAGGTCTTCGAAGAGCAACATCAAGAGACACACGCGCACTCAATCACTTGAGAAAGCTACCGTCATTCCAAGTCCCAAGCGAAGAACATACAGAGGTCCGTCGCTTGAGCATGTGTCAGCGGCTGCAATGGATTTTGAAGCAGCCTACATCGTTGATTCAGTGGGGGAAACGCCGACTACATTCAAGTCGGCGATGGAATCAAGCGACTCCGGCAAGTGGAAAGAAGCGTGTGACTCGGAGTTCGACTCGCTTCAGAGAAACGACACGTGGGAAATCGTGCCTCTTCCGAAAGGTCGCAAGGCCATCGGGTGCCGATGGGTTTTTCGTGTAAAGGAGAATCAAGATGGCGAAGTTGAACGTTTCAAGGCAAGACTTGTGGCCAAAGGATTCTCACAGAAATTCGGAGTTGACTATGAAGAAACTTTCGCACCGGTGGCCAAGTTCACATCGATTCGTGTGGTGCTCAGTATGGCGGCTAAGTACGGCCTAATGCTACATCAGATGGACGTCAAGACAGCGTTTCTTAACGGCTCCCTCAACGAAGACATCTACATGGACCAGCCGGACGGATACCTGGATGCAACACAGCCGGACTATGTGTGCAAGCTAAAGAGATCACTCTACGGCTTGAAGCAATCGCCTCGCATGTGGAACCAAACAATCGATGGGTTCATGATCAAGATGGGATTCAAGAAGTGCGAATCGGACCACTGCATCTACATCAAGCGAGACGACCAAGACATGATTCTCGTGGTACTCTACGTCGATGATCTCATCCTGGCCAGCAGCAACAACGAACTCCTCAAGTCAACCAAGATGGCGCTGAGCAAACGCTTCGAAATGACGGATCTCGGTGAGCTCGATTACTTTCTCGGCATGGAGATCAAGAACGACCGTAAGACGGGAATGGTGACTGTACAACAAACCAAGTTCCTCAAGTCCGTGTTAACCAAGTTCGGAATGGATAACAGCAAGCCAGTGAAGACGCCTCAAGATCCCGGCCTGAAGCTAACCAAGAACATGTGTGAACAAGAATGCAAGCACGAAGACACCATGTGCAACGTGCCATATCGAAGTGCTGTCGGAGGCATCATGTATCTCATGGTCGCCACACGTCCGGATCTAGCTGCTGCAGTGGGATCATTATCCCAGTTCTCGTCCGACCCATGCCCGACTCACTGGCAAGCTTTGAAGCGTGTGCTGAGATACCTGCAAGCAACGCCCAATCATGGTCTTGAGTTTACACGTGAAGAAGGAAGCCGTATCTGCGGGTACACCGACGCAGACTGGGCCGGCGACATTGAGTCAAGACGAAGTACAAGCGGATATGTGTTCATGATGAGCGGAGGATGCATCAGCTGGAAAAGCCAGAAACAACGGACGGTCGCGCTATCTTCAACAGAAGCAGAATACATGGCGCTTTCCGAAGCAACCAAAGAAGCAGTATGGCTCAAGGTGCTTTTGGGGGAACTTGGTGAGATGACAAGCGACGAAGCGATCAAGATGTATGAAGACAACCAAGGATCAATCGCTCTCGCCAAGAACCCGGAGTTCCATAAGAGAACAAAACACATCGACATACGCTACCATTTTGTGCGTGAGAAGGTGGAATCAGGTGAAGTCGTTTTGGAGTATTGCCCGACTCAAGATATGCTGGCAGACATGATGACCAAGCCGATCGCCGCTGTACAATTTGAAAACATTCGCGATCGACTTGGGATCCAAGGTGCCGCAGCTAACGAGTCGAGAGGGAGTGTTGAAAAGACAGCGGCTGTGAAGAAGACACCTCGTCAAGCTGCGTCAAGTGTTGAAGCAAGTGGAAGACCAAGCTTCGCTATACCGGTGGGTACCGGTATGTACCAGTAAGGGCGAAGTCAGGAAATGACGTCATTGGATAACGTCAGTGGGTGACGTCACTGGATGACGTCATTGCATGACGTCAGTGGGTGACGTCAGTGGGTGACGTCACTGGATGACGTCACTGCGAATAATAGGCTTAGAGGTAGTATTCAAAGTTGCGAACTAAGTACCTATTATAAATATATATTCACTTTGCGTTTTGCACTCGGACCAAGAAGTCTAAAGTTCATCAAAACAATCCAGCCCGGGCCTTGGGATCCCACTTGAGTCGTTTCTCCTTCGGGGTCAAGATGTATGCTTGGCACCCAAAAACGTGCATGTGCTTGACACTTGGCTTAGAACTGTAGACAATCTCGAACGGTGTCTTGTGTGGAATCTTGGGTGACGGCAAACGGTTCTTCACATAGACGGCCGTCATTGCCGCTTCAGCCCAGAAGCACTTGTCCAACTTGGCATGATGGAGCATGCTACGACCGATGGTGACGATAGTTCGAATCGCGCGTTCAGCAGTTCCATTGGCTTGATGTGCGTATGGCACCGTGGTTTGTTGCTCGATGCCTTCGACTTCGTAGAAATCTTGAAGCGAGTTCGTCGCAAACTCGCGGGCTCCATCGTGTCGCACAAATTTGACCTTCTTGTTGAACTGCGTCTGTATCACCGTGATGTACTTCTTGATGCACTCTTCGCTCTCTGACTTGGAATGCAGACAAAAACCCTTCATGCATCCGCTGGCTTCATCCACGATCAGCAGCAGATACTTGCTGCCACCCAGAGATTTTTCTTCCATGGGTCCGCAGATGTCGAAGTGGAGCATCTCGAAGGTGTTGTAGGTGCGCTTGTCACGGTTGCTCGGGAATGGTTTTCGGACCATCTTCCCTTCTTGGCATCCTCGACACACACTTGATCCATTCGGCTTGGAAGGGATGTGAGCGTCCTTGATCATGTGGCTTGTCACCATCCTGCGAAGCACGTCGACTGGATCATGGCCCATTCGTGTTGCATTGTAGATCGGAGCGAGGAAAGCGGAGCAAACGAAGCGGAGAGACCGAAGAGAGTAGAGCAGAAAACACTTGCCCAATAGTTGGAAGATTCGAAAGTGATTGATTATCGGGACTTACTACTTACTACATGATTTATATGTGGTGTACATATAAATCATGTGAAGCGTCTCATCATCCTACGCGTCTAATCAACTATGGTAATTACCGTAAGAACTACGTCGTAAATACTAAGCTGAACAGGCGGTTCGGATTGGATCGGTCACGGTTACCAATACTGGTAGAAAACCGATGACCGTCAACACGCCCCCTCAATCCGAATGCTCACGAATCCCGAGAGCCGTCGTCATCTCCTTGTGGCGTGGTCCATGAAGTCCCTTCGTCATGATGTCCGCTAACATCACCGCAGTTTCACAGTACTTGAGCTTCACTTCACCGCGCTTGACCTCATCACGGATGTGATGGTACTCGATATCAATGTGCTTGGCACGGCCGTGGTTGACTGGGTTCTTCGTCATCTTGATACACGACTGATTGTCTTCATGAATCATGAGTTCCGGTCCTTCTTCATTGGCAGCCATCACGATCTCACAAAGCAGACGATGAATCCACTTGCCCTCTTGAATCGCCAAGCTGAGTGCGATGTATTCGGCTTCGCTCGTGGACAACGAAACACTTGGCTGCTTCTTGCTGCCCCAACTGACTGGCGCACCGAGTAGCATGAACGTGTACCCCGATGTTGACTTGCGGTCGGTAAGATCACCAGCCCAATCCGCATCCGAATATCCACGGAAGTCGATCCTTGCACTTGGCTTGTAGCAAATTCCATGCGTCTTGGTGCCTTGTAGGTAGCGAAAGATACGCTTAACTGCAACCCAGTGTTCTTCTTGGGGATTTTCCATGAACCGCGACACATAGCCCACAGCAAACGCAATGTCCGGACGCGTTGCAGTGGTCAGGTGCATCAACGCACCAACAGCTTCGCGAAAAGGAGCATCGACCTTGGTAGTTGCATCACTTGAAACAAGTCGAGAGCTCATGTCGACTGGACTTGCGACTGCCTTGCAATCATCCATGCCAAAGCGCTTGAGGATATCATCGACATACCGACGCTGACATAGTGTCACACTGCCATCTTCACCGTCCAAAAGCTCGATCCCAAGAACAAACGCACACTTGCCGCTGTCCGTCATTTCGAACCGCGTCTTCAGGTCGTTCTTGGTTTGTGCAATCAGCTCGAGTGAGCTTCCAGTCACCAAGACGTCGTCCACGTAGACCAGTATAAACACGCAATGGCCGTCCGAAGTCTTGATGTAGAGACATGGGTCGAAGTCCGATACTTGAAATCCGATGGAGCACACATACTCGTCGAACGTCTCGTTCCACACTCGCGACGCTTGCTTGAGGCCGTAAATTGACTTCACCAATTCCAGGCAGTCGAACGTACTGTCAAGTTCGACGCCTTCAGGAATCACGCAGAACACTTGTTCCTTCATGACGCCATACAGGAAAGCTGCCACCACATCAAGCTGGTCGATGGGCCATCCAAAATGCTTGGAAATTGCGATCACCATTCGCAGCGTCACATACTTGACCACAGGCGAAAACGTCTCCGTGTAGTCGATGCCATACTTTTGGCGGAAACCCTTGGCCACAAGTCGTGCCTTGTACTTCTCGATTGACCCATCCGCCTTGCGCTTGATCTTGAACACCCATTTTGTGCCAATGGCGCGTTGTCCGTTGGGCAGCTTGGCTGCACGAAACACACCGCGAAGTCGCATTGACTCGAGCTCTGCATGAATTGCTTTTCTCCAGTGCACTTGGTCAGGGCCGCTTACTGCTGCTTCAAATGTTGAGGGTTCTGATAAGTCCACTGCTGCTTCAACGGCATTTGCACTCGCACGCCAAAACACAGGCGGTGTTGAATCACCAGAATCCTTCGTTTCTTCGTCTTCTTCTTGGCGTGACGAGTTGTTTTCCGGCGCGCTTGACTCTTCTAGTCCTGGTCGTTGACGCACTGCACGCGGTCGTGGAGCTGCTGTATCTTCATCATTGAGTCGGTTCTTGCGCTTGCCTGTTTGCTTGTACTCCATTTGACGCAGCTCTTCGTCATCAAGATCCAGCAATTCGAAGTCCAGGTCATCGACATCTTCATCAGTGATCGGCAGTTTGTTGTAACTTGAGCGCGAGGCGAAGAGAAAACGAAGCGGAGAGACCGGAGAGAACGAAGCAGAGAACACTTGCTCACTTGAGGGAGGATTCGAAAGTGATTGATTTATAGGTCTTAACTTCTGCCTACCCTAGACTGCATCCAATCACATGGTGCATCTAATCAACCTGATTTACACGCGTCCAATCATCCTACGCGTCTAATCATCTCTGAGGTAATTACCGATGTAAAAACTATCTCGTAAGAACTACGCGCTAGGTTCGGATTGTACCGGTAACCCTCAATACGCCCCCTCAATCCGAACACGCACGGATGCCAAGCGCCGCCGTCAAGTCCTTGTGACGCGGTCCGTGAAGTCCCTTCGTCATGATGTCCGCCAACATCAACGTCGTCTCGCAGTATTCAAGCTTCACTTCGCCGCGCTTGACTTCATCACGGATGTGATGGTACTTGATGTCGATGTGTTTAGCGCGGCCGTGGTTGACCGGATTCTTCGTCATCTTGATGCACGACTGGTTGTCTTCACGGATGACGAGCTCGGGTCCTTCTTCGTTTGCAGCCGCCATGATCTCGCACAGCAAGCGATTGATCCACTTGCCTTCTTGGATCGCCAGGCTGAGCGCGATGTACTCCGCTTCGCTTGTAGACAGTGACACACTTGGCTGTTTCTTGCTGCCCCAACTCACCGGAGCACCCAATAGCATGAAGACGTAGCCGGACGTCGATTTGCGATCAGCAAGGTCACCGGCCCAGTCTGCATCTGAATAGCCACGAAAGTCGATCTTCGCACTTGGCTTGTAGCAGATTCCATGCATCTTGGTGCCTTGTAGGTAGCGGAAGATGCGCTTGACTGCAACCCAGTGTTCTTCTTGGGGTTTCTCCATGAACCGTGACACAAAGCTTACAGCATAGGCGATGTCCGGTCGCGTTGCAGTCGTCAGATGCATCAAAGCACCCACTGCTTCACGGAATGGGACATCCACCTTGCTTGCAGAGTTGCTTGGAACCAGTCGAGCTGACGTCCACCGGACTTGCCACAGCCTTGCACTCATCCATTCCAAAGCGCTTGAGGACATCGTCGACATAACGGCGCTGACACATAGTCACGCTGCCATCTTCACCGTCCAATAACTCGATCCCAAGAACAAAGGCACACTTGCCGCTGTCCGTCATCTCGAAGCGTGTCTTGAGGTCGTTCTTGGTGCGCGCAATCATCTCGAGCGAGCTTCCAGTCACCAAGACATCGTCCACGTAGACCAGCACAAAAACACAATGGCCTTCCGAAGTCATGATGTAGAGACATGGATCGAATCCCGACGCTTGAAAACCAATCGAGCGTATGAACTCGTCGAAGGTCTCGTTCCAAACACGCGAGGCTTGCTTGAGACCGTAGATCGCCTTGATCAGCTCGAGACAGTCGAAATCACCTTCCATCTTGACGCCTTCCGGAACAGCGCAGAACACCTTCTCCTTCATCACTCCATACAGGAACGCAGTCACCACATCGAGCTGGTCGAGGGGCCATCCAAAGTGCTTGGTAATGGCGATGACCATTCGCAGCGTCACATACTTGACCACGGGCGAGAACGTCTCCGTGTAGTCGATGCCATACTTTTGGCGAAAACCCTTGGCCACAAGTCGTGCCTTGTATTTCTCGATCGACCCATCCGCCTTGCGCTTGATCTTGAAGACCCACTTTGTGCCAATGGCGCTTTGTCCGTTGGGTAACTTGGCCGCACGAAAGACACCGCGAAGCTTCATCGAATCGAGCTCCGCATCAATTGCCTTGCGCCAGTGTACTTGGTCCGGGCCAGATACTGCTTCTTCAAATGTCGACGGCTCCGAAAAATCGACCGCTGCTTCGACGGCGTTTGCACTCGCATGCCAAAACGCGGAGGAAGTCGGTGTGTCATGTTGTTCCTCCGACTTCCTTTCTTCATCTTCGTTGGCTCGACGTGAAGAGAGGTCATCCGGCGCACTTGACTCTTCCAATCCGGGTCGTTGGCGCACTGCTCGGGGCATGCTTGCGTCGTCATTGTCGTGACTGGGTTGGGCCTTGCGCTTTCCTGTTTGTTTGAAGTGTCTCGGACGCGGTTCTTCATCATCAAGATCGATCGATTCGAAGTCCAGGCCATCAACATCGTCATCGGAAATCAGCATCGACATTCCAAAGGCCGACTCATCGAAGTTGACATCGCGACTTATCATCACCTGCCCCGCTTCGATGTCGTAAACTCGATACGCCTTGGACACTTCTTCGTAGCCCAAAAACAATCCAGCCCGGGCCTTGGGATCCCACTTGAGTCGTTTCTCCTTCGGGGTCAAGATGTATGCTTGGCACCCAAAAACGCGCATGTGCTTGACACTTGGCTTAGAATTGTAGACAATCTCGAACGGTGTCTTGTGTGGAATCTTGGGTGACGGCAAACGGTTCTTCACATAGACGGCCGTCATTGCCGCTTCACCCCAGAAACACTTGTTCAGCTTGGCATAATGTAGCATGCTACGACCGATGGTGACGATAGTTCGAATCGCGCGTTCAGCAGTTCCATTGGCTTGATGTGCGTATGGCACCGTGGTTTGTTGCTCGATGCCTTCGACTTCGTAGAAATCTTGAAGCGAGTTCGTCGCAAATTCGCGGGCTCCATCGTGTCGCACAAATTTGACCTTCTTGTTGAACTGCGTCTGTATCATCGTGATGTACTTCTTGATGCACTCTTCGCTCTCTGACTTGGAATGCAGACAAAAACCCTTCATGCATCCGCTGGCTTCATCCACGATCAGCAGCAGATACTTGCTGCCACCCAGAGATTTTTCTTCCATGGGTCCGCAGATGTCGAAGTGGAGCATCTCGAAGGTGTTGTAGGTGCGCTTGTCACGGTTGCTCGGGAACGGTTTCTGGACCATCTTCCCTTCTTGGCATCCTCGACACACACTTGATCCATTCGGCTTGGAAGGGATGTGAGCGTCCTTGATCATGTGGCTTGTCACCATCCTGCGAAGCACGTCTACTGGAGCATGGCCCATTCGTGCATGTAGATCAACAGCGTTGCTGAGTGATGTCGCATTGGCCGATCGCTGCGTCGTGCGAAGCCAGTAGAGTCCGTCTACAAGATCCGCAGCTGCCACCACTTGATTGGAATCCTTGCGAGCGACGTACATCGTATCCCCCGTCAAACACCACTTGGAAGTTGCCGTGCTTGTTAATCTGCGGCACCGAGAGCAGATTTTTGCTCATGCTGGGCACATAGAGCGCGTTCTTGATCTCGATCTCGCGCTCTTCCCCGTTTGGCAGAATCACCTTTTCCACGATGGTCCCCACACCTTTGATGGCCGCCTTGTTGCCATCAGCCACCAGGATCTCGCCATCATTGCCTTCGACCAAGCTTGCAAACTTGAACTTGTCGTGGCAGATGTGATGTGTTGCCCCGCTGTCAACGGCCCACATTCCTGGTCCATTCTTGTTCGTCGAAACTCCGCATTCGAACGAAACTGCATACGCCACTCGATCGTAGCTGTTGCCTTCATCATAATGTCGCCACTGGACATTGTTTGCCCCGCGTCCACGACCATTGCCGCCGCGTTGGGCTCCTCGACTTTCATCCTTTTGCTTCGTCCAGCAACGCTCTGCCGTGTGCCCCACCTTGCCGCAGTATGTGCATTGGTAGGGCTTGCGCTCGGTACTGAATGCCTTTGTCGCATCTTCAGTCTTCACCGTTGTCGTTGCCGTTGTCATCTTCTCGCCTTGTCGCTTGATGTGCTCGTTAGTCAGCACCTTGACCACATCTTGCGTGCGCAGCTCTGCATTGCTCATCTCCAAGTTGAGAACCACGTTCTCGAAACTCTTGGGCAGACTGCGCAGCAAGCAGATCGCAATGTCTTCGTCTTCCATCTTGGCACCGATGCTGCTGAGCTTGGCGCCGATGTTCAAGACTTCGTTGCAATGGTGCAAGACGTTGGCACCTTCCGCCATCTTGATGCTGAACAGCTGGCGCTTGAGGTAGATGCGTCCCGCCTTCTGCGACCCACCATAGAGCATCTTCAACCGCGACCACGCTGTCCATGCTTCTTCACAGTTGTCGACCACATGGTGGTAGTCGGCGTCCATGTGGAGCAACATCAACCCGAACGCGATGTTGCTCGCCTTGACGTACTCGTCGGAAGCTCGCGTGTCGGTGAAGGTTGGAGACGTTTCGCGGTTCACGACGTACCAGACTGACTTCGTCAGAAACACGCCGCGCATGTAGCGACACCAGGTTGAGTAGTTGTCCCCATCGAACTTATCGATGGAGACACTGGCCGAGGTGTTGTTGGACGACATGGCGCTTGGGCTCATAACCTGTTGTAACTTGAGCGCGAGGCGAAGAGAAAACGAAGCGGAGAGACCGGAGAGAACGAAGCAGAGAACACTTGCTCACTTGAGGGAGGATTCGAAAGTGATTGATTTATAGGTCTTAACTTCTGCCTACCCTAGACTGCATCCAATCACATGGTGCATCTAATCAACCTGATTTACACGCGTCCAATCATCCTACGCGTCTAATCATCTCTGAGGTAATTACCGATGTAAAAACTATCTCGTAAGAACTACGCGCTAGGTTCGGATTGTACCGGTAACCCTCAATACAGTTGAAGTCCAAAGGTGGACTCGTCGAAGTTGACATCGCGGCTGATAACCACCTGCCCCGCCTCGATGTCATAAACACGATATGCCTTCGAAACTTCTTCGTAGCCCACGAATATGCCAGCGCGAGCCTTTGGATCCCACTTGAGTCGATTCTCTTTAGGCGTCAGTATGTATGTCTGACACCCGAATGTTCGCATGTGCTTGACGCTTGGTTTCAAGTTGTAGACGATCTCAAACGGGGTCTTGTGCACGACTTTAGGTGACGGCAGTCGATTCTTGACGTAGATGGCCGTCATCGCTGCTTCGGCCCAGAAACACTTGTCCAGTTTGGCATGATGAAGCATGCTGCGGCCGATCGTGACAATAGTCCTAATGGCACGCTCTGCTGTTCCGTTTGTTTGATGTGCATACGGCACCGTTGTCTGCTGTTCAATGCCTTCGTCTTCGTAGAACAGTTGAAGCGAGTTGGTTGCAAACTCGCGAGCTCCGTCGTGTCGCACGAACTTGACCTTCTTACAGAATTGCGTCTGTACCATGGTGATATATTTCCGGATGTAGTCTTCACTCTCGGACTTCACTCGTAGACAAAAGCCCTTCATGCATCCACTGGCTTCGTCGATGATCAGCAGCAAATATTTGCTGCCACCGAGCGAATCCTTTTCCATGGGCCCGCAGATGTCCAGATGAAGTAGCTCAAACGTATCGTAGCTGCGCTTGTCTCGGTTGCTTGGAAATGGTTTTTTGGACCATTTTCCCTTGTTGACATCCTCGACATGTAGTTGCTCCACCCGACTTGAGAGGGACTCGCACATCCTTGATCATGTTGGTCGCGATCATCTTGCGAAGTACATCGACTGGAGCATGACCCATTCTCGCATGTAGATCGGCACAACTGGTTCCACTTGTTGTCACATTCGCTGATCGTTGAGTCGTCCGAAGCCAGTAGAGTCCATCCACGAGATCCGCTGTCGCCACCACTTGCTGTGAGTTCTTGAGAGTCACATACATCTTGGACCCGTCAAACACGACTTGAAACTTGCCATGGCTGTTAATCTGTGGCACCGAGAGCAGGTTCTTGCTCATACTTGGAACATATAGCGCGTTCTTGATTTCGATCTCACGCTCTTCACCGTTGGGCAGAACCACCTTTTCCATGATGGTTCCCACACCCTTGATGGCCACCTTGTTGCCATCAGCCACCAAGAGTTCGCCCTCATTGCGCTCTGCCAAACTTGCGAACTTGGTCTTGTCGTGGCAAATGTGGTGCGTTGCACCACTGTCGACGGCCCACATTCCAGACACGTCCTTGCTCGTCGAAACTGCACATCCGAACGAGACTGCAAACGCCACTCGATCGTAGCCATTGCCTTCATCATGATGTCCCCACTGGACATTGTTAGCCCCGCGTCCACGACCATTGCCGCCGCGTCGGGCTCCCCGACCTTCGTTCTTCTGCTTTGTCCAGCAACGATCCACCGTGTGTCCCACCTTGCCACAATACGTGCATTGGTAGGGCTCACGCTCGGCGCTGAATGCCTTGCTTGCATCTTCAGCCTTCACCGTAGTCGCTGTCGTTGTCCCTTTTTCTCCTTGACGCTTGGCATGCTCATTCGTCAGGACTCTCACCACATCTTGAGTGCGAAGCTCGGTGCTGCTCATTTCCATGTTGAGCACCACATTTTCGTAGCTCTTCGGAAGACTGAGTAGCAGACAAATTGCAACGTCTTCGTCTTCCATCTTCGCACCGATGCCGCTAAGCTTGGCGGAGATGTGTTGAAAAGACAGCGGCTGTGAAGAAGACACCTCGTCAAGCTGCGTCAAGTGTTGAAGCAAGTGGAAGACCAAGCTTCGCTATACCGGTGGGTACCGGTATGTACCAGTAAGGGCGAAGTCAGGAAATGACGTCACTGGATGACGTCATTGCATGACGTCAGTGGGTGACGTCAGTGGGTGACGTCACTGGATGACGTCACTGCGAATAATAGGCTTAGAGGTAGTATTCAAAGTTGCGAACTAAGTACCTATTATAAATATATATTCACTTTGCGTTTTGCACTCGGACCAAGAAGTCTAAAGTTCATCAGGTTATGAGCCTGTTGACGGTCATCGGTTTCTACCAGTATTGGTAACCGTGACCGGTCCAATCCGAACCGCCTGTTCAGCTTAGTATTTACGACGTAGTTCTTACGGTAATTACCATAGTTGATTAGACGCGTAGGATGATGAGACGCTTCACATGATTTATATGTGCACCACATATAAATCATGTAGTAAGTAGTAAGCCCCGATAATCAATCACTTTCCAATCTTCCATCTACCCCAAGTGTCTTCTCCGGTCTTCCAAGTGGACTCCTCAGCATCCCTCCCAGTTTCGGTCGTCAAGCTCTTCATCATTCAACAGGTTATGAGCCCAAGCACGATGTCCTCTGCCCATGATGCCACCACCAAGATCTCCATCGACAAGTTCGACGGCGACAACTACGCGACGTGGAGCCGCTACATGCGTGGCGTGTTCCTGACCAAGTCGGCGTGGCACGTGGTGAACCGGGAGACCACCCCCACCTTCGCCGATCCTCGCGCCAGTGACGACTACGTCAAGACGAACAACATTGCGTTCGGCTTGATGCTGCTGCACATGAGCGCAGATTATCATCACGTGGTTGATGACTGTGAAGAGGCGTGGGTCGCGTGGGCGCGTTTGAAGACGCTGTACGGCGGGTCGCAGAAGGCTGGACGCATCTACTTGAAGCGCCAGCTGTTCAGCATGGAGATGGCGGAAGGCGGCAATGTGATGCATCATTGCAACGAAGTCCTCAACATCAGCGCGAAGCTCAGCAGCATCGACGCCGAGATGGAGGACGAGGACGTTGCGATCTGCTTGTTGCGCAGCCTCCCCAAGAGCTACGAGAACGTCGTTCTCAACTTGGAGATGAGCAGCGCGGAACTGCGATCGCGAGACGTCGTGAGAGTGCTCACGAATGAGCACATCAAGAGGCAAGGTGACAAGACGACATCGGTGAAGACTGAAGACGCGGCGAAGGCGTTCAGTACCGAGCGTGAACCTCGCCAGTGTACATACTGCGGAAAATTGGGGCACACGACGGAGCGGTGCTGGACCAAGCAGAAGGACGAGAATCAAGGTGGAGCTCGACGCGGCGGCAACAATGCTCGTGGACGCGGAGCCAACAACGTTCAGTGGCGAACCAACAGCAACTACGACGACAACTGCGATCGAGTTGCGTTCGCGGTTTCGCTGGAGGCCGGACTTTCGACGGGCAAGAATATGCCAGGGATGTGGGCAGTCGACAGCGGTGCGACGCATCACATCTGCAACGACAAGGCCAAGTTTGCAAGCCTGAATGAGCGAGAGGAAGGCGAACTATCAGTGGCTGATGGCAGCAAGGCTGCGATCAAGGGTGTGGGAACCATCATGGAACGGGTGGTTCTGCCCAATGGTGACGAACGCGACATCGAGATCAAGGACGCGCTGTTCGTACCAAGCATGAGCAAGAATCTGCTTTCGGTGCCACAGATCAACAAGGGTGGGAGGTTCCAAGTCGTGTTCGATGGATCCAAGATGCAAGTGAAGCGCAAGAATTCCACACAAGTCGTGGCAACAGCGGATCTCGTCGATGGACTTTACTGGCTGCGGACTCCTCAACGATCGGCAAATGCAGCAACACGCAATGGGACCATCGACTTGCATGCGCGCATGGGTCATGCACCTCTCGAAGTTCTGCGCAAGATGGTGGCCACTGGCATGATCAAGGACGCCAAGGCACCTCTCAACTCGACTGGTCCAAGTGTGTGTCGCGGTTGCCAGCAAGGAAAGATGGTCCAAAAACCATTCCCAACCAACCGTGACAAACGCCAATATGGTATGTTCGAGTTGCTGCACTTCGACATCTGCGGGCCAATGGAACAAGTCTCGATCGGTGGCAGCAGATACTTACTGCTTGTGGTTGACGAAGCCAGCGGTTGCATGAAGGGCTTCTGTCTGCGGTCCAAGTCTGAGAGTGAAGACTGTATCAAGAACCACATCATCAAGATTCAAACACAGTTCGGCACGAAGATCAAGTTTGTTCGGCACGATGGAGCGCATGAATTTGCGACCAACTCGATCAAGACCTTCTACGAAGATCATGGTATCGAACAACAGATCACGGTGCCGTATGCACACCAGACCAACGGCACCGCAGAACGCGCGATAAGGACCATCGTCACGATCGGACGCAGCTTGTTGCATCATGCAAAGCTGGAGAAGTGTTTCTGGGCTGAAGCGGCAATGACGGCGATCTACATCAAGAACCGCCTGCCTTCACCCAAGATCGACCACAAGACTCCGTTCGAGATCGTGTACAAGTCGAAACCAAGTGTCAAGCACATGCGCGTGTTTGGATGTCGGGCGTTTATCCTGACACCAAGGGAGAAGCGATTGAAGTGGGACCCGAAGGCTCGTGAAGGGATGTTCATGGGCTACGAAGAAGTGTCAAAAGCTTATCGAGTGTACGACATTGAGGCGGACCAAGTGGTGATCAGTCGTGACATCACCTTCGACGAATCGACTTTTGACTTTTCGATGGACCGACCAAGTGACGATGATGAAGATGCGGAGTTGGATCTCGACCTCCTGGCGATCAACGAGGACGACGTGCGTCAAACTGTCTACAAGCAGACTGGCAAGCGCAAGAGTGAAGCAAGACCCGGCATGTCACGTTCAGCTCGCCCTCGAACTGGATTGGAACAAGCAAGTGCGCCGGCACACGTCTCCAACCGTCACCAGAAACGACGATCAAGTGCTCCAGAAACGATGTCTGATGACGAAGAAGATGCAAGCGTCTACGATCAAGATGACGACTTGACGCCTCCAACATTTTGGCGTGCAAGTGCAAACGCAGTGGAAGCAACGGACCTAGCAGAACCTGTGACTTTTCAAGACGCGATCAATGGTCCTGATCAAGCTCACTGGCGAAATGCTGTGAAGGCGGAACTCAAGTCGATGCATCTTCGTGGAGTTTTCCGTGCGGCAAAACTACCAAGAGGCCAAGGCGCGATCGGCACCAAGTGGGTGTTCAAGATCAAGCGCAAAGCGGATGGATCGGTCGAGAAATACAAGGCGCGTCTCGTTGCCAAGGGCTTCAAGCAGAAGTACGGCATCGACTACACAGAGACGTTCTCGCCCGTGGTCAAGTACGTGACACTGCGTATGGTGATCGCGATCACCAAGTATTTCGACTGGCCACTGGACCAACTCGATGTGGTGACAGCCTTTCTCTACGGAGTGATGAAGGAGAAGGTGTACTGCGTGATACCAGAAGGCGTCGAGATGGATGGCGACTTCGACTGTCTCGAGTTGGTGAAGGCGATCTACGGTCTCAAGCAAGCTTCACGTGTGTGGAACGAGACTTTCGATGAGTTCGTATGCTCTATCGGTTTCGAAGCGTCGGCGTTCGACCCATGTCTCTACATCAAGGTTGTCGATGGTCACTGTGTGCTCGTGCTGGTCTACGTGGATGACGTGTTGGTCACCGGCAGCTCGCTCGAGTTGATTGCGCAGACGAAGGCCGACCTCAAGACGCGTTTCGAGATGACCGACAGTGGCAAGTGTACTTTTGTACTGGGCATCGAACTGGTGGACGAATCGGATGGCAGCGTGACGATGTGCCAGCGACGGTATGTCAACGACATCCTCAAGCGCTTCGGCATGGATGAGTGCAAGGCCACATCAAGTCCGGTCGACTTGAGCACTCGGCTTGTCGCAAGCACCGAAGCGGCCAAGATCGACGTTCCGTTTCGTGAAGCTGTGGGAGCTTTGATGCACTTGACGACTGCGACGCGCCCGGACATTGCGTATGCTGTGGGGTACGTCTCGCGCTTCATGGAGAATCCGCAGCAAGAACATTGGACGGCGGTGAAGCGCATCTTTCGTTACTTGCAAGGGACCAAGTCGCACGGACTCCGATTCCAGCCAAGCGATAAGATCGACTTTCGTGGCTACTCGGACGCGGACTGGGCCGGCGACCACGCTGATCGCAAGTCGACTTCGGGTTACACTTTCATGCTGATGGGTGCTCCTGTGAGTTGGGGAAGCAAGAAGCAGTCAAGTGTGTCGCTGTCGACGAGTGAAGCGGAATACATCGCACTGAGTCTGGCCATCCAGGAAGGCAAGTGGGTGCATCGCCTGCTATGCGAGATTTTGGCGGCCGCAAACGAACCAGGACCGGACCTCGTCATCCGTGAAGACAACCAGTCGTGCATCAAGATGACGAAGAATCCGGTGAATCATGGCCGCGCCAAGCACATCGACATCAAGTACCATCACATCCGTGATGAGGTCAAGCGCGGTGAAGTGCAGCTCGAGTATTGCGAGACTTCCGTGATGATGGCGGACATCATGACCAAGGGACTTTCGGGACCTCGTCACAAGGACTTGACGACGGCTCTCGGCATTCGTGCGAGTTCGGATTGAGGGGGCGTGTTGACGGTCATCGGTTTCTACCAGTATTGGTAACCGTGACCGGTCCAATCCGAACCGCCTGTTCAGCTTAGTATTTACGACGTAGTTCTTACGGTAATTACCATAGTTGATTAGACGCGTAGGATGATGAGACGCTTCACATGATTTATATGTGCACCACATATAAATCATGTAGTAAGTAGTAAGCCCCGATAATCAATCACTTTCCAATCTTCCATCTACCCCAAGTGTCTTCTCCGGTCTTCCAAGTGGACTCTCA